GTTTAATATTTGGTGTCTGTTTCTGTGACAATTCATGTGTCAGTTCTTTGAGCTCCAGAGGAATGTGTGCATACAAGTGCTAGGTGGAAATCAAAGGGCATTCAATGCAGTGACCAGCAACTACTGAGAGAGTTCAGGACCATGGCATCTGCACAAGATTTTTCACCTTGGTCTGTTTACTTTGCTACTTATTTAAATCAACTTGGTCTTTGGAATCAAAAATTCTCTGCCCAAGGTAAGTCTAATAGGTGGCAGAAACTTGTTCTATTAAACTGTTAGTCTAAAAAATCCTGTGGAATCTTAGTACGGTGAGAAAGGTAGCATGTGTGCTTATTTGAAATTTTCCTTTTCTTGAGTAATGATTCGTGGTTCTGGCCCACCCAAAAGAAAGATCTAGAATAGAAATATAAATTGACAACCAAGCACTTGGGTTTGTTGTCAGAGGTAAAGAGAGGATAGATTTTTGCAAGCTTTGCAGAAGAAGCTGTTAAGCTTCAGAGGTTATTTAGCAGAATCTGTCATTTAGGAAGGTAGAGTTAAATTCTTAAGGCAATGGAATTTCTCATGAGGAGGAACTTTTCTGCGGCATTAGTCTTCTGTCAGTGACCCAAGGTTCCACCATGCTGCAAGCAGGCCAAGATCCCATTGTAACAGATTTGTAGACCACTATTCAAATCTTCAGTGAAGCACAAACAAATACATCTTTGTATTGATAAAATGTGGCCATAGGGGGCAGGACTAGGGGCAACAGACTGAAGCTGCAGCTTCAATTTAGGTGGGCATTAGGAGGAACTTAGGAGGTCAGTCATTGGAAGAAGCTACCTTGGAGACACTGTGGAATCTCCATCCTTGAAGATTTCTAGAGCAGTCTGGACTGACACTTGGCTGAAATGGTTTAGTTACAGATGGTCCTCCCTTGAACAGGGGACTGGACTAGATGACCTTTTGAATTCCTTCCAGCCCCACTTTCCTACAAGCTTATTACCTTTAAAAAACAAAACAAAAACCCCCAATACTTCATGCATTTCAGCGGTAATGCCTTTAATTATAAAAGCAACATCAGTAAGTCACTGTATAAACTTTTTATAAAAATTTATAACAGCACTGGATGCAGCATCACAATTGGTAGAATAATAGTTAATAAAATTATGAATTGAAATTACATATTTAAAAAGACAACCAATTAAAAAAAATCATGAGACACTTCAAGTAGCTTAGATGCAATGTTTAGAGGTTTAAAAAAGATTTCTGTGCTACTTTAGACATTGAAAAATGTTTTATCTTAATGCAAGGCACAAAGATCACTTCTTGCAGAGGTGTAGCTGGGCAGCTCCATGCCCTGGGCCGTACCTTTGCAAAGGGCAGTGCTAGTTGCCACAGTGCTTGTGGCAGTGGCACATCCAGCTGCCATTGCAGCAAATGCTTTTTTTTTTTTGGCACCCTTACCCCTCCAAGGCAGCACCCAGTTGCCTCCCCCTCTGTTATGCTTTGATACAGAGGTGCAATGAATAAGGTAGAAAGGCAGCAGCCTTATTTAAGTGCGCAAGGGGAAAAGAAAAAAGCGTCAAGAAACTGTTCCCCCAACTGGCTGAGGTGAACAAGCCATTGTGGTGTCCAAGGTAAAAACTACAGCTGTACAGGAGTTTGCACATCATGTAGTTTGCCCAGAAAAGTTAAATGCTGCACTGGCCACTGGGAAATATTCTCTGAAACCCATCAATCCCAGGGTTAGACTGTCTCACTTGATGACATTTCCATGGCCACTCCTGAGAGACTGTTAGTTTGGTAGTGAGAAACATCTCTCCAGGTTCAGCCCAAACTTCCTTTGCTCAAAATTCATGCTATTGCTAATTACCTCCAGGAACCACCTTGCATTCATCTCACTCCAAAATTTCTTTAAAATACCCTTCCTACCCTTCAGATAACAGCTGTTCAAGCTATGCCTACTGTTAAACATCTTTCTTAATAGCAATTTAGACATTTGTCTGTGTTCATTGCTGTTCCCACCAAATCTCCAGTCTGAAACCTGCCTAGTATTGAGATGCATAGAGACACCACACAGTGTTATCGATGCAGCACCAGCAGTGCAATATAGGAGACACTCATTTCCACCCTGATTTGAAGCCTGGTTATTGCAGCCTCAAGGCACATTAGTTCCCTGTTCACCGATGTAACTGCACTGCAAATTCCTATACCATGTTTTGTCCATCATCCCTATGCTACTTTTGCTGTTGTTACCTCGCAGGTGTCTTCCTCCCACTCTATCATAGGGTGGGGAGGAAAGACAGAGGAGACAAAAGATATGTACATATGAACAGCTTAATGTGTTGTCAAAGAGGGTATGGTTGCTCTATGGTAACTGCCCATGTAGACGTTTCTACCCAGAAGTAAACCCTGGTAACTTCTCTCTTGGGGGAAAGGTGTAATTTCCTCCAGATTGGCTTCCGTTTACCCTGGGGTAAACATGCACATAGACGATTACCAAAGAGTAGCTAAAGAGGTTAAGCCCTGCTCCCTTTTACCTTTCAGTCTATTGTTTATATGTCGATACACAAAGATACCTGGTTTTAAATATTTCATCTTGATTTTTGCTCAGGCATTCAACTTGATTTCTTAATGTTGGTGCAAATACAGAAATGCCAGCATAACTGGATCACGCTGGAAAATCTCCAAACCCAGGTATTAGCACAGGTAGGTCTGTTTGGATCTGTCACCACCTGTGGTGACTTGAGGCACAAGTTATTTATTGCAGCATTTACAATAAAGCTTAACTATTCAATTGTTAATGCAAACTTTGTTTTCCATCAAGTCTATTCTGTCCTCCTTAACCCTGATTTATGTCTTTGCAATCACCAGAGTGATGGCGTGATATGAGTCTTCAAGGGTACGAAATGATGGATGGCAATACAATTGCTTGTAATCAGTGGAATGTACATTGTATATTCCTTGAGCAACAGAATAGTACTAGTCACCTCACAGGACATGTTAACAAATTGAGCCATCTTCTCCCATTCAGAGATTTAAAGCAACAGCTTGGCTCCAAAAGCCAAATGGGTAGATCATACTGTATTTAGAAGCACAATCCTTTCCCTGAGGGCTGGTATTAACAGGTTCCAACCAACAGCCTAGGTCCCTTGTTATAAAAGATCAGGAGACACCTTGCAGTTGAATGCTGCATGTCTACATACCACCTGCTTCCATACCCATTTTTCAAATGCAGTGACCCCTGGATATAGAGTCTAAGAGTCCTCTACAGAATGGCCTGTGTCCATCATTATACCCATGTACTCCCAGCTATTGTTCTGCTGAATTTCCTGGAAAAGCAGCTGCTGCTGGAGACTCTTTAAGCTGTCCAGTATTTCTGGAGAGAGGTGTTGTGCAGGCATCTGGCTTCCCTCTTCTTCCTCTTCCTCCTCTTCTACAGGATCATCAGGAGGCAAAGGGGAACATCTTGAGATGTAGCCCTGGTCAGACTGCACTGACTGTCTTTGATCTTTGGATTGGTCATTGAAGACCAGCTGCTGCTGTTGCTCTTCAGCCTCTTCTTGGCAAAGAGATGGCTCAGAAGGAATGACATTTTGCTGGTAGAGAGAGTACATTAAACCATTCAGCTGTTCGTTCAATTCAGCTGGGAGGTGGTCTGTCAATATCTGGCTGTCTGATGATGTGGCATTAAGGTCTTCATGGAAGAGAACACTATTTCTCACTGGGACACTGGTTGCCAGGAGTGGGATCCCTTCCATCCAGTCCTCATTGGTTAGCACCTGATGACTGACTGCACTTTTACCATCTTGGAGAGAGAGTGGCTCCGTTATCTGAACTGGAGGAACTTCCTCCATGGGAATTATCATAGTCTGGAAAGCTGGATCTCCAGGTGGATTAAACTGAGGCTGCAGTTTACAGTTTTTGCCTTCAATTTCATTTATATGGAGACTGACCATGTAGCAGCCACTGGGATCAGGCTCCTGAAGACACAACTGCTGCTTCATAATTCCCTCTTCCATGGGTATTAATTCTTCAGGGCTTTCTCTATCCAGAGACTGCAGGTCCTCCTCATCCTCAGAGCAGATCTCTCTTTCAAACCAGTCTGGATGCTCTGCCTGCCAATCCTGGAATTTTTGCACAGCTTCCTTCAACTTCCAGCCACTGGGGTTTTCAAAACAATTTTCAGGTGTGATCTCCTGGATTCTATGGATTCTCCCTGGCTCAAATTTTTCTATATCCTGGATCCGGAAGTAAATGTCTTCAAACCTGTCCATCAGCTGGTACTTGGATGTGACATTGAATGGGTCAGGAATGTCCTCTTCATTACTTATACCTGCAAAATAGCACACTATATACATGCCAAAACAAGCTGGTTTCTTGAAATCTGGCAGGATCAAATTAAAGGCTGGCGTGAACAAATCTCCTGCTGGATGCCGCTGATCTTGTCTGAGACGCACAGCCGCCTTCCCAAGCATGGCCTGCCACTTGGCACGGGTGCCCCGAGAACACAAAATGATGATCTTTGAAGAAAGCTTTTCCATTTCCTTTTTCTGTTGAGTAAGCCAGGGTACGGCTCCCATCTCTGAGATCTGATGCCCTTCCAGCAGGTCCAGAACTACCTCAGTACCGCAGACTGTGATCATGAACTGGGCAAACTTCAGCACCACATCTACGTACAGCGAGTGGTCAGCAGAGTAAACCAACCAAACCTTCCGGGGCTTCAGTTTTGGAGGAGGCATGTCTGGGGGTAACAGTTCTGAAGGAAATAATAAAAAGATAGTGAAATGAATTAATTGTAACACTTGCTAAAACTGTAACTGTGTAACCACCATATGCACATACAGTGTCACATGACTAACTCCACAAAGAGCCCTCTCTCAAGGAAGGCCTCCCTTCCCTCTTGATGGAGAGCTACATCAATGATCTAGTGAAAGAGCAACTTTCTCCTAACAAACATTCCTCCCCTCCTCCTGGAAAAGTGGAACTTCCAGTCCCACCTGGGTCCCCAAGCAAGCAATCCCAGCTCCAGGACATAGAGATAGACAGTCTCAGTCATTCTGATCTCATGTGCAGGTCCAACACAGGAATGTAAGACTAGAAGAGACCTCTAAGGGTGCTGAGTTCAGCTTCCTGCCATCACAGGCACCCAATATCACCCAATCCTTTTAATATGTTAATCAAGCACTCTCTAAAAATTAGCTAGGTTTTTTTTTCTTTTTGGCCTCTGTTATCCTATTGAAAGGTTGTACTAAAATGTCACTCCTCTGAGGTTAAATTTCCAGCCTAAGTTTGATCATTGCCCTTATATAACCATTTGTTCTTGTGCCAGCATTATCTTATAAATTAAAAATGTTCTTTTGCTTCTCTGGTGTTTATCTCTAATGTTTTCACACACAGCAATCATATCCTGTCTCAGCCTTTGTTTGCTGAACTAAACGAGCCAGTCTTTTTTATTCACTCTCTTTATAAGAGACTTTCTTTGAAACCCTGTGGCTGTGTTTGTTGCTGAGATTTCCTCAAAGATATAAGCTGAGTAACAGGTGCAGTGACACCTGTTGTTTTCAGAACCTGAAGCATAAGTCCAGAAGTGTAACCTGCCCTACTAATTTCAATGGTACTAATTCAGATACCTGATAATAGTATTTTGCATGTCAACACTGTTACCCATTTCATGGCTCATCAGGCTGTGCCAGAAAGGAAAGAATCTCTCTTAGGAAAAGCTACACAATCAACCCCAAGTGACTTGTTTTTGTACTGTAGTGAGTATGGTGGGAGAGTATGACACCTCCCTTCCCTGCCAGTCAAGGTAGGAATCATAAGCCTAACAAGTTAAGCTGGAGAATAACATGCCATTCATTTCTCACCAAGCAGAAGATAATCACCCCAAGGAATCCAGTAGAGCCTTTGGGTACATTCAGACCCCAATGAGGTGAAATAGAGCCCATGGACACTAATACTGAAAATGTACTGCGAGCAGTGTTTTATGTGAACAGCATTTGAAAGAGCTTTCTCCCATTTCCTCTTACCTTCCTTCAAATTCGATATCTAAAAGCAGGCTTACTACTTTGCTTTTGTACTCCTAGATCACCCCTTTCATGAAGGCCTCCCACAATTTAAAGTTGGAGGAGGGAGGGGAGAAAGATCACCACCATGTGATTCTTCTAATACCAGTTGCCCAGGGTAAGTTTCTTAAGTGCTTGTCTACATATGGAATTATACCAGTATAACTGCAGCTGTATAATTAGACCTACAATTAGTCAGTTGGGCCCTATCTACATGCAAAATGGCTTTCCAGAATAGCAATAACACCAAACCTTCCTAATAGAGAAGTAGCTCACACCAGGAAGATTATCACTTAATTGAGTTCCCTGACCAGGAAAAAGCTCTACCAGTAAAGGACCCTCCTGCCAGTATAATGGCAACTGCATTATTAGTACCTTAAGCCTTTAATTTCATAAGGCAAAACCCCTTCCTCCATGAGTGGAAGAGCTTTATGTTTTAGAGGATCACTATCCAAGCCTGCTACTGACATAAATCTTTTGGTTAAAGGAAACAGAACTGAGGTTGCAGAGCAATATTTGGGTAATATGAATTCCAGTATGGTCCACACTGAACACACACGTGTCTGACAGTCTGTCCAATGGTACAAAAAGTGTCCCTTACCATGAGACATACTGCTACTGTTCAATTTCCCATGATGGCACCCTGAAAAAGAAAGACACACTGTCAGCTCCTAGAGAATTTTAAAAGTATGCCCTTAAAATGCTAGTGCCCTTCAGAGACCAGGTTGGAAGAGCGTGGGGGCTTTCTGACACTAAACCTAATGAAAAGCGTTAAAGTGAAGAGAAAGCAGCCCACGCACGAAGGCTCTCTTCATGAGGGGAAAGGCTGCATGTGAACATATATAATCTCTTCTCCTTACCATTCAATTCTACACCTAGAAAAGGAAGACTGACCTGTCAAACAACCTCGCTTCTTCTGAAACACCATCCACCCTGCCACCAACATCTTAATGATGACAGTGAGGTAGATATGTTACTTTCCCAGGCAAAACTTACTACCAGGGAGTCATGTTGTGTCATTGTGACAGTTGCCTAGTGGGTCATCACATGGGACTCAAAATCAGGAGCTCTCCAATTACTTACTGTGTCACCTTGGACAAATCAGTCTTTGTGCCTCACATACCTTTGCCTAGGCACTTATAAATTTCAGGATGAAAAACACCATACAAATGCAAGATGGCACAGCAGAACTAATTCCTAGAAGGGATCAAGGATTAATATTGTGGGTTGAATAATTAGGGTGTGCCAGTTCTGAAGGTTTTGTAAACAACACAGGAGAAGAAACAAATCAGGCTGCAGAAACTTCATATCAAGTCCCACGGAATACTGAAGGTAGAGGGCTGAATACTGCAGTCAGGCTACTCAAGAACTGAGAAGCTCTATCAGAGATGGAACTTAAGGCCAATGCAACCCCAGAGAACACAAGAGACCTTCAGTTAACATGGTGTTTTAGAAAAAAGTATGCTTGCTTTGTATTAGGATGCCATGAGTCCTATAACATGGGCTAAAGGAAATGCTTTTCCTGGCAGAAAGTCATATGAGGATCCAGGGAAGGAAATAAGAAGATACAGGGTGAGAGATGTGTAAGCATGCCTTAGAGTCTTTCCTTCCCTCACTGGTGTGGTCCTTACCTGGTTGTGTTTGGGTCATATAAATGGCCCCAGCAATAACTGATCCCACCAGTAAAACACAGAAGCCAGTGATACACCAGTACAGCCACATAAACATATCATCTACGGTATAAGAAAGAACAGTCAGACAGAACATTCAGACACAATTTTATCTGCCAAGGAAAATCTTGTACAATCACAAAACTCTACCTTGAACACTAGGTATCAGATGGATAGCAGCAACCCTGCCCTCAGAATTATGGAAACAGCCCCATCCCAGCCCCATACAGTGGCATGCAGTGGCCCCCACATGACTGGTACAGGAGCTGAGCTGGGGCTGTGCTTCATGCCTCAGGCTGGAATGGAGGCAGAGCCTGCCAGCCTAGAGCAAGAGTAAGGAGGGGAGAAGCGGGGAACAAAGGCTGGGGGGAAGTGGGGAGCAGAGGCTGAGGGGCAGGCACAAGCTGGTGCAAGCTGCTTGACCTCCCCACACCACCTGCCCCTCTCCCCCCGACTGCCTGCTTCCCTGTAGCAGTGGGGAGGATGAATTAAAGATAACCCTCCAATAATTAGATTCTATACATGGAAAATTTATACATTTTCCATGTATAGAATCTAATTATTGGGGTTGTCTTATATTCGGGTAAATATGGTTAAAAGCTTTCTCTTTTAATGCAAAATAAGGCAGTTTTACCAGATCTATGAATTCTGGACTCAAGACACTCAAAGAATGACAAGCAGAACTTCATGAATAATGCTATTCTATGTGTAGACTGGCTCACATGCTGGTCACTCTTTGTTACAGGCAGAGGAAAACAAATGCAAAGGGAAGTTCTAGTATCTAGAAAGGGATTCTTACCTGTAGGCTGTGAAGCTGAAAAATAATCAAATGCAAAACAGAGAATTAGATCAAGGCTCAGCTACAATCTATAAAATGATAGAAATCTAATTTAGTAGAAAGAAGTTCTTACTTGGAGCAGGTGGACATTGAAAGACACTCAAGTGCCTTGTACAGTCAGTGCCACAATTTGCAAAAAATGGCTGAATCTGCAGTTGAAACAAAAATCAGCAAAATGGAAGTATTTCTGCCAGTCACCTGCTCCCCACAACCCTTCCCTTTAAACTGTAACAGTATGATAGACATTGGGACTATAGTCTCCCCAGAATGTTAAGGGTCTGATTAAAGGTTCTGGGGGCTACTCTCTACCCAAAGACAGCAGACCTGGTCATGAGGGCTATACCCAGCTACTCCATCTCCAGTCTCTCAAGAGTGGTTAGTATGAAAAAAAAAAAAAGATGAAAATTCACCGTAGTTTCATAGTTTCTAGGGTCGGAAGGGACCTGAGTAGATCATCTAGTCTGACCCCCTACCATAGCAGTAAAGATTACTGGGGTCAAACGACCCCAGCAAGGTGTTCATCTAACCTCCTCTTAAAGAACTCCAGGGTAGGAGCCAGCACCACTTCACCTGAAAGTTGGTTCCAGATCCTAGCCACCCTGACCATGAAGTAGCGCCTCCTGATATCTAGCCTAAATCTACTCTCTACCAGCTTGTGACTGTTATTCCTGGTCACTCCTGGTAGTGCTCGGGGGAACAGGGACTCCCCCAGTGCCTGCTGATCCTCCCTGACTAGTTTGTAAC